AACTTCAATTAAAATATCCTGAAAAACTCATTATCCATCAATATATCTCATAATGAATGTGTCATATCTTATTTAGAAAAAATAAATGAACACCAGTATAAAAGGTAATTGCATTTTGTAAGCATCAGAATTCAGCTGAGGTTGCAATAATCAAAATGTGGCCTCAAGGACTGTTGAAATCCAAAAGGTTTTCCAGATGAATCTCAAAAAGGGCTCCTGTAGTTACCTGACAAATATTTGGGCTTCTGGTGTCATCCTAAAATCCATATCCTTATTTATAGTAAAATCTCAGTTTGACCTCATTTCTGTGCCAGTGGCTAAAAATAGAAGGGATTTAAACTAAATTAATGAGGTCCATGAACTGAGAAAGGGTGAGTCATTGATCTAGAGAAGATTTTCTAGAGGAAAGAGTGCGGCGTGTTGATCAAGAACACAGGGTTTATTGTCAGAAACCTTGGTTTATGTTCGGGCTTTTTCTTAAGGGACCATGGCTGCCTTTCTAGGGACTTGCATTCATTAATATAATGCTAGCTCTTGGAAAAATGGATTCAACAAAGTATAATGGCTCAAAAACTATCACAGTTTCTTTCTCACTCTTGTAACAGTCTGAAGTGAATCTTCCGGTAGCTCTCATCACGCAGTGACTCAGGTACTCTGATGCCTTCCATCCTGTGACTGCCAAGAGAAAGACCATGGATGGAGGGCAGGCCTTCAAAGCCTTGGTTGGAGTTCTGACACATCACAACACTGACGTTTCATTGGTGGCAGTCAGTCCTTTGGTCACATGAGATGCAAGTGTGGTGGAGACTGGGAATGTTTTTGTCTGTTTAGCCACTTCCCAAGGACAATTCTATAACCATGAATGTGGTGGAGAGGCATAAATTTTAGTAGATGGCTAGGTGTTATCTGTGTATTATCTTCAGTCATCAAATGAGCACAGTTAGGTTCTTTACAGGGAACTGTGGTTACAAAGGCAGTCACAAAAGCACGGCTTCTATCCTCAAACAGAAAATAGATAAAACCCCTCGTGCAGGAGGCAGAGGCATCCTTGGTGCCTGTGTGTGTGTCACAGAAAGACACAGAGAGACAGAGACGGAGATGGGGAGAAGAATGCGTTTAATGAAGACATTGTCACTGAAGCTGAATGTTTGCCTATGGAAATGAGTTGCATGTTTGCTAGGCATTGAGGTTTTGATCCAATTTGGGTCAAACTTCTTGGTTTTTCTTGCTCTTTCATACTGTAATTAGCTCTCTGTAGTCTGAGATATTGAAACATATTACTAAGCAATGGCTAAAGCAAAATGAGGCAATAGCAGAATAAAATGCACAGATATATGTTAAATATAAGCATCATTATTGCATCACCATTTTTAAAGGCAGAATCTGGAAAGATCTTTAATGTTGATATTTAAAGGGAATGGCTGGATAAAATATGCTCCACCAATACTTGAGATTACTACATAGCTGCTAAAAAAAAGAGTAACTTAGGTCTGTATATTCTCATCAGAGGAATATCCACAAGGCACTGTTTGATGTGATCCAGCATTTGTAAAAATGTTGAAATACAAAACCTATGCATATTTATTTATTTGTATAAGCATACAGAAAGGTGTGTAAAATATAGTTTATGTTTTAATGTTGATATTTAAAGGAAGGGGGCACTTGAAGAATTAAGTGTCTATTAATTTTTTACTTTAAGCATTTCTATTTTGTAAATTAATAACATGTAAGAAACAAACTATCAAGGATACAGAATGCTTTTTGAGTGTTGACTTTATATCCTGGTACTCTACTGAATCTAGTTATTAATTCTAGAAGTCTTTAGCTGGAGTTTTTTGGGTCTTCTATGTATCATGTCATCAGTGTTTCTGTACAGCAATAACAAACTCACTGAGAATGAAATTAGGGAAACAACACCTTTCCCAATAGCATCAAGCAGAAGGAAATACCTAGAAACTAACTTAACCAAGGAAGTAAAAGCCCTCTACAATAAAACTATAGTCCTCTGGAAAGTGAGATCCAAAAGGATATCAGAAAATGGAAAGATATTCCCTTTGCTTGGATAGGCAGGATGAATATAATCTAAATGACCATACTATCAAAACTGCTAGATGGATTTAATGCAATCCCAATCAAAATACCAATAGCATTCCTCACAAAAACTGGAAAAAACAATCAAAAAATTCAGACCAGAAAAGACCTATATTAGCAAAAGCATTTCTGGACAGCAAGGGAAAGGCAGGAGGTATCACAATCCCTAATTTCAGGTTATACTACCAACAGTGATCAAAATAGCATGGTACTGGCAAAACAAGAACAAACCAACCAACCAAAAACAGACTTGTGGATCAATGGAACAGAAGCAAGATGCAGAAACAACTCCAGGAACACTTAGCTGCTTTATCTTTGAAGGGTGGAACACTTTCCCTGTAGGAAGATAGCCTCCTTAATAAATGGTTTTGGGAAAACTGGCTTCCAGATGCTGAAGACTGAACATAGACCCCTATCTTTTACCATGCACTAAAATAAAATCAAAATGAATCAAAGATCTGAATATTAAAACTGAAACAATCTAATGGAAGATAGAATAGGTAAAACTCTTGAAGGTAAAGGTGTAGGCAAAAACTTTGTGAACAAATCCCTAGTTGCACAGGAAATATCACAAAGAATCAACAAGTGGGATCCCTCTGCAGAAGGCTATGTGCTACCTTCTCTTGCTTGTTGTGCACATGTGTTCTTCCACACAACTTTTCTTAATTTGCTCTCCCTAAAAGTTCCACATTAATAGGAATGTATTTTGTAATTAGAAAGAGTAAGATGCTGAAAAACGTGGTTTTTAAAAAACTGAAAAGAAGAGCCCATGGCAGTGCTCCTTTAGATTAGTACCACTTGTGGGCCTTTAGAAGGTGCCAAGGCCATGTCTTTGCCAACTGCATCAATATCCGCAGCTTCGGACTCAGCATCAGTGGTGTCTGAGGCTCCTAGGTCCTTTTGCCCTGCAGATAAAGATGAGAACCAGGGACTCCGGCCAGAATCCTCGCCCCACAGCTGTCCATGTAGCCTTAGAGCTGCGCCCACCTTGGGAGATTCCTGATGGCTGGTGTCCTGCCATGGTCTGTGTGGTGTGGCAAGGGTCTGAAGTTTGAGTGGGGTGAGAGAGGATGCAGAAAAGAGAATTAAAGTGGGACCGGTTGGGGCCCCCCTGCCTGCTGAGCCGAGTACATGGGCAGCCTGCAGGTCATTTAATTTAAGGCACGGCAGGGGGAGTACCAACAAGACGGGGCAGGGTGTCCTTGGTAATTGTTCTAACATGTTCTGTGACTAGCTGACTGATAAGGGTGTGGGAACAGGGACAGGCAAGCTTGCTGCTCCTGGGACCTTGTCAACTCGGACTGCAGTACACAGGTACAAGGAACATGTCCCTGCACCCTGGGCTGTCTGTTTTGGCAGGGTAAATCGGGGCACAAAGGGAGGAAAGCCACGAAGTGCAGGACGCGGCAAGCTGCCTCTTGATCGCGGCCCATCCTGAGCCCGCTCCCGACAGTGCAGGACTTTGGGGCCCCGGTAGTGACCTTTGGGCCAAGAAGATTTAGGGCCCTACTCTTTATCTCAATGGTCAGCCTGTATGTTTATAGGATGCAATTTTTTTCTATTCTGAATGGAAATAACTTGGCTGAAGTCCATAAAAAGCGATTAGTACGGAGCATAATGGTGCATACATGTAACCCCAGCTATCTGAACCCTGAGGTAGAAGGATGGCAAATTTGAGCCCAGCCTGGGCAACCCAGTTTTAAAAGGAAATTAGAAGAGGGCTGAAGATGTAGCCTAGTGGCAGAGCACTTGCCTAGTGTATGTGAGGTCCTGAGTTCAACACCCAGTGACACACACTCACACAGTGACTGGTGTTACAGTTTACGATCATCCATTTTGCTAAACAGGACACTGTCTGTGAAAACTGGTAACTTCTTTAATCACTCAACATGCTTACCTGAGCACTTCTGAGAAGGGAGCACAGAGATCTCTAAAGTCCCATGTTCAGATTCCTTCACATGTCTCACAGTGGAACCAAGTGGTTTGGGAGAGGTTCTGGAACGGTGAATGGTTCATCTGTTCTCTAGTTTATGGTCCACTAATCCTTGCATGAACATTAGCTAATGAGGTCTATTTTCTGAAATGCTACTTATTGGAACCACCCTGTAAGCTGCTTTAGACTTTGAATTTTTTGAGACCAATGTAACTGGTTAAAATTTGTAAAAATAGTAACAACTGGCCTTGGGAAAGGAGTGAATGCAAGCGCCATCTGTTCATGCAGTGCATTTGGTAGATGGAGTTTTGGCAATACTAGGCTGTTATGAGACCAGAAGCTATTCAAGGGGAAAGCGCTAACATTCCAGACTCATAACTTAAGCCGTAGCAAAAATGCTCACTCTGAAGTTACTGCTCTGTGTCCTGCTCCCCCTCCCCTCCCTCCACACTTTTCTCACAGTCTCCCTGGCAATCTGCTGTCAGGTTTGTCCTCTGGGAAAGTGTATTTTTTTCATCAATAAAAGCTTCTTGGTAGGGAATTTACTTGTGAAGTAGTGAGAAACAAGGAAAGAGTTTCCGCTAGTGAACAAAAAGACATATCATATGAAACAAAGTTTTAATTTTTATTTTACATATTTATACATAAAACTTTCAAGGAACCCTCTGAATCCAACAGAATGTTAATAGCACATCAAAAAATGAACTTCAGGTAATCAACATTCACAAAATGTTGAAAACTGATTAAAATATACATATTACGGAGAGCTACGACTTCACTACGAGGCAGGCATGTATTTTTTGACTTGATAGCACCGTCATTTACAGTTCTTCTTTAAAACTACAGTGAAGAATGAAAGTAGTCAATGGTAGAATACTGCTCCAACTTAAAATCTCTAAACAAATAAAAATAAAGTTAAAGCTACCCTCTTTGATTAACCATGATTTGTGATGGTGTAAGTACTGTACATTTTTTTGTAACAATATTTTATTAAAATGCCTGATATTAAGTGGCATGAGTAAAAAATTAAAATAAATTAAGAAGCAAAGGCCAATCACTGGACATTAAGCTTCAGACATCATCAATGACTAACACTGATATTTGTTTCTGTGCCACCTTTTAGCAACAGCATTTTTACAACCACAGAAGCAAAATAAATTCTAGCTTGTCCTCTGGTTGGATGGCTTCTTTTCACTTTGCAGGCATTTTCTCTGCCATGTGCTTCTGCTGACTTTCAGCATGTCTGTAAAGTTAATAAAAACAGTTACTTAGTCTAAAAAGAACAATCCAAACTGTTTAGCAATCAACAGCTACCACATACTCCAAATTAAGGTTCAGAGTTATTCAGAGTGGAATACATGACAATCAAGGAAGAGCATCTTATTCAAACTGACTTGGCCTCTTCCAATTTTATATTCTACTTATGACTCCTTTCATGGATTAACTCTAGACCTACAGACATTATTGGGTTTCCTTAGAGAAGAAAGGTGCTGTGTTTGGAAATGAAAAGTGGTAAGTGTCTGGGATACTTTTATTAATAAATACTTAAAATGTGCATTCTTCATGCACAACATGGCTTCCGCTGCTGGGGATTTGGTGTCAAGCAAGACAATGAGGTCTTTGTTCTTGCTGGGAATGTGCTCCAGTGAAGAGAGACAAGAAAGGAGCAAACAGCATGTAAAGAAATAGAAGACAGAAAGGAAACATTAAACAAAAAGTCAAAATGAAGAGTCATGATGAGTCACTGAGTGAAACTTTATGTAAACACATGCATGCAGACACAGATGCAGGTATTAATGAAAGCTGCGACAGAAATCTGCAGCCAATAATCTAATTTTCTCTTACAAAAGCTAATGTCTAACAAGTGCCAGGCCTTTATACTGTAAAGATTTACCATGCTGGCATCAGATTTTTCCCTCAGTTAACCCTAAGGGCACAAAAATAATAGTGAGGGCAGGCCTCACAGAGGGTAGGTGAGTCTTCTTATTTATCAAGCTCTATGACGACCTGTGAGGCCAAGCCAGGAGCTGGACTATGGAGGCAGAGGGGACAAATGGCCAAGCTGTTCATATGACTTGAATGAGCATTTCCCAGAGAATGGCAGCATCTGAAGGCTGCAAAAGATAGTGGTTTTAGGAAATGATAAATTTTGCAAGAGAAAAACAAGGTTTTTCAAGGTTGTGGTTTCCAGCTGTAAGCAAGGGTTTGGGGGCAGTTTATGTATGTGTTAGACTTGGGTAGTCAGTGACGTCAAGTTTAACTCATTGGTTTTATGCAGAATGTCCCATATCTATGGTGCAGACAAACCACAGATACTTTCAGAAATAGGGAAGTGAGAAGAGTATCGTTGCCTCATTCAACAGCCCACAAATAAATGGTGATACTCTTGTAACAATAAGGGAACTCAGGGGAAAGACACCATCATCACGGCATTCCTGAAAAAGAACATTCCTTATAGCTGACCATCCCACAGTTCTGTTTATGTGTATAAAAGAGCTGTGATCATTCTCTTAAAATTAGCTCATGGCGTCTCTTAAACAAATTCAACTCAAGAAGTACTTTGATGCCCAGTGAGCTAAGATCCCACTTTAGCTAATTTAACTGCAGTTCTTACAGAAGTTGCTTTATTCTATACACCTGTGTGCATGTTACATGCCGAAGCGTACACTGAGGGGTTTTCTGAGGACAGAAAAGCAGACAGGAGACAGCTCAGAAAATACTGAAAGATGGATGCTCTTCTGAGAAATACATACAAAGGTGTAGTGGATTAACTAATGGTCACCTTGTAACACCCAGCTGAACTGAATCAGTACGGTCTGGGTGTGGAGGACCCACCTGAGGATTGCTGACACTAGCCATAATAAGAGAACTGGAGGGGAAGATCTTGGCCTGTTGATTTTCTAGGCGAAGCTTGCTGTGGAGTTTTCCTGATGCAAGCTAGGCTGTCCTCATGGGAAGAGGAGCTCAGGGCCTCACTGTCAGTGGGAATGGCTGCTGTTTTCATCAGGGGAGCTCTGATCTTTACTGTGATCATCACTTCCTGGCTCCAGCTTGGTGGCACAGATCCTTCATCTCACCAACATAGGTTTTCTGGTTTGTACCACTGGCCTTTGGGCCTTCCAGGTGCAGATCCTCAATACGGACGAGCATGAGGCATTCTTGTGGGCTCCAGGCCGCTGGCTGGACTTGAGAAGGACATTGCCTTGGACTCTAAGCCTTTAGTTAGACTTGTGTGGGACATTTCTGGGATCGAGGCCCTCAGCTGGACTCTTCGGACTTCTAGTGTGTGGTTCATCTCTCTTGTAACTCCTTTGCATTTGAATTTTTTTGTTATTATCATAAAATAATCCTATAAACAAGGCATGGCAAAGGGCTAAAGTCTAAAAGATTTTCATTGACAAATTATATTAAAGTATTTTTAAAGATTAGTTTCACCCCCGCCCCACTAAGACTTTTTTTTTATCAACAGTCATTACTAAGGCCCTGTGCTAGGCTCTGGGGATCTGGCTCTGGATGAAAATGGAGTTGCCTTCTGCTAAAAGGAAGAGTTTTATGGACAGGTGCGGAAGGGCTACAGACAAATGGAACAGAAGGGATGGGAGCACATGAAGAGTCTTGGTGATCGGAAACCAGATCATACGACAGGGAGTAACATGGTCTGATGCCCACCGCGTGGCTGCTCATGTGCTGGAATCAAAGCAGCCAGGAATGACTTGGGGCCAATTCCCAGGGGCCTGTCCTGGGTCAGTACTATTGCCCTGACTTAGGCAGAGGTGACAACTCATCACAAAAGGAGAATGACTGGCAAAAAGTCAAGCCTTAGGGGCAGGGAGGGCATTTTCAAAGAGGCACTATCTAAACTAGTAGTTCTCAAATTTTGCTATGCTATGAATCCCTTGGGAGCTTAAGAAAATCCTGATGCTCAGGCCACCCCAAATAATAATAAAGTCAGAATCTCAGAGAGACCCAATTATCAGTAGTTTGTAAAGCTCCCCTGCTGGTTCTGTAGTGAGAATCACAGGTATGAACTGACAACTAGAATGGTAGGCGTTGGACTGGTGAAGGAAATAGATGAAGAAAAATTTCCCTTTGTCCCTTTAGCCACACAATCACCCATCTGAGATCTTGCTGCAGGATGTTGGGCCTGTTGTCTTAAGCTGTTCTCTGAGAGCAAAGTTAGGTTTGTGCAGCTGGGAACAGGTGCATGGCCTTCTCCCCACAAGTGGGTGGCTGTGAAGGACACTGTGTGCTCCCTCTATTGCAGGACTGCTCTAATTTAAAGGGCTCTACCAATACCTCTTAACTGGTAACTCTTCCTTTTTACCCACACTCCTACCTGCACGGCTTCCGTGATCACATCACGTGAAAAGTCTAAAAACACAGAGCGTAAATCTAAGTTTCAGCCTCATGCTCTGCAAGATGGGGAGAAGCCTCGCTATGTCTCCTTATCAAGGAATAACAACACTGTCGAGAGGCAGAGGAGAGGTCTCTGCTGTCACAGATAATCACAGACTTTGTGCAAGAGCTCAGAGGTTTTTCAGAAAACGTAGATACTGGCTGTGTGTTTCACCACTAATTTCCCATAATTTAATACTTTTTTTTATAATCTCAATACTTTTATGCAAATTCTTAGACTAACAAAAAGGGTCTGTTTTACAGTTGTTGGTGTAGTGCCCAAATACATCTTTAGGTGGCAATAACATTTGAGAGTTACTATGATATTTTAGATGCAAGTAAGTATGCTCAGAGTATGAAAACTCCTACTGTTTTTAAGTGAGGGACAAGGCAATATAATACTTAAAGCACAGAATACAGCAGCCCATATCTGTTAAAAAAAGATCTCATACAATTTTGCAGCATTTATTTTGCTACCAAAACATTACATTAAAGGTTTCATCATCATAAAATTATTTTATCCCGGATTACACATTGAGATGAAGTCCCATGGTATGAGCTGAGAGCAATTATCACTACCTATGTTTTTACTCTTCTCTGGGATGGTTCTGGATCATGTGGTTAATTCCTTATGATATTATGACAAAGTAGTGTGTTCTTTCTTAGGAGCCTTTGGGTCTCTGAATAACATTTCTGAGATTAATAGCAACTGTTGTCTCCTGGCTTAAGATTTCATATAGACTGTCTCAGAAAAGCACCACAGTGAATTTGAAACCACAGCGGTCTTTACAGTATTTAAGGTACTTTGTATACAGATTTAGGGTCATATATACGGCATATCCGCTATACATAATGTATGGCCTGCCTTTCTACTGGGAAGATACTAGAAATGGAAGACCTTGACCAGCATTAGCCTAGCTCAGTGGTAGCACACTTCTGGCACATGCACCACAGCAGGCATCCAGGGCCCTTGCCGCTGGCACGTGAGCCAAGAGTGTGTGTTGTTTTTTCTAAACTGAAACCTCAGTATTCAGGTTTAACTGAAGGATTTGTTAGGGAATTGATCATGTCAAAGTATGCTGTGACGCCGCCTCACAGGCTGCATTCTCCTGGTACATCTTGGCTCCTAAAATGACCTCATGCCCTTATCTCTGGTTTCCCTTCCCCACAAGGCCACAGAGGTCCAGGAAGTTGAAACCTGTGTCTGCAGGACTGGGCCCATAAAAGCAATCTGGCCTGTGAGAGGTTAAAAGTAGCTCACTCCTCATAAATAAGCAATAGCCCACCCCAAAACTGATAAAAGTGCGTGAGTGGCCTAATTGGGCAAGGGGCACCCAAAGGGGGCTCGAGACCCCTTTCATTGATGTCAGAAGTGGGATCTGGGATTGCCAGGCCCACAGGCTAAAACGCCTGAGGCCTGAAACCCAGATTCTAGGGCGCTCTGCTCAGCCCCCGTCCAACGTCCACGACCATTCTCCTCGTCGCCTTCTTTGCAGCCATCACCGACCTACTGATCTTCCGACCCACACCTTTTTGGGTAAGTTCCCCTTTCTGAGAAGTCCTCAGGGTAACGGGGGACCCCAGACTCCAGACCACCCACTAGGATCACGTCCGGGACAAGGCCGGGGCCCAGGTCGTCTGTCCCTCAGTTTTGGCAAACCGGGTTTGCCTCTGTTGAGTCCGGGACTCAACTGAACTAAGTCTGGGACTTAGTTCACATAAATTCCTATCTCGAGTAAGGGACGCCTTTGCAGGAGACCGAATTTCAGCTTTCTAGACCAGGTCTAGAAAAAGAGGAGTTTTATCAGAACTCTCGGAGACGTCTGGTCTTCTGATAACCTCCTGTCC